GAGCAGAGTGTTTACTACTAAGAAAAAATGACAACTATTGTATTCCGGGGCATCATGGTGAATTCTCATGGCTGTAATGTTGTTTTGTGTACCAGCTTCTCATTTTCCTGCTGTAAAATGTTTATTTGTGTAGCATCTTTTACACAGAAGATGCCATTCAAAGTGCTTTGCATGAGATGAAAGAGTACCTTAGAACAGCATAACATGAAACACGTGCGAGCAACAACACAACAGCCCAAAAATATGTCTACAGTGCAGTACGGCAGGAAGGAATTCAATAAAGAAATTAAAGTGCATTAAAGAAATCGATCAACAGGATAGAAGGGTAATTTTCTAATTCGTTAAGATCATCATCGAGTTAATTTATGCGCAGCAACGTAGTTAAAAGCACCTTCTTCCTGTTGGCTTCAGAATTAAGGCACTAAAAGCTGATGACTTGGCTTTCAGGGTTTACATTTGTTAAACATATGAAAGCACAACAAAAAGACCAAAGAGGGTCTTTCCATCTAAGATATTACATTTGTTACTGCTGTCAACAGGCTTGTTCACACCATTAGGCATTCTGGAAAACACATACTTGATTGTGTTAAAAGCCTGCAATGTCAGAAGCTCAATAATTGAATGTAAGTGAAGGCTGTCTCAGCTTTTCTTACTTCGTATAAAAGTCTTGTACATACTTTGTCTGAGTTAGGATTTGACTTTAATATGATTGTTAGCTCACAAAAACACATTTCACAACCATACAGCGCCTGTAAAGACAGTCTAGTCTGACAAAAGAAATGTCACTATAGGATAACAGGTGCAACCAGGTGTAAGGGGCTTATAGTGTGTCATGCTTTGCCTTTTTCGCCCAAGCAGTCATTGATCAGACAATCTAAAAAGTTAACATGGTTGTTCATTGCCTCTGCCTTTCCCCCCTTGTGACAGAAAGGGTCCTCCTTGCCCCTCGCCTCCAGGCATCTGGTGCAACTCTAACAGGAGCTGGCAGCTTAGAAAATCCATTGTTAATAGGCTCGGTGTTTGACACAGTTTCTAGCCAACCCCAAAGGAAACAGGTCACAACCACAAGCTCATGAGGGAGTGAGAACAGATGAGAAGGAGGTAAAGGGGCAGGCAGACAGCAAGATAAAATAGATTTCATTTATGACTAAACAAGAAGGTGTTAGTGGAAATAACTGATGTAATGTCTGACATTATCTACATGGAAACAATGATGAATTACGCTACATTTAGCATGACCTCATATCCTAAAATATACGTTGAAAGGAAAGCAGCTTCTTACACCAGGGACATTTTAAAAATTTGCTAATAATTAACAACAACAACACAGAAAGAAATGAAAAACTATTTTGGTTGCTTTGTTTTAAAAGTTGCATTATTACGTATTTTAAGCTAGTTTCCAGTGACACTTCCCCAAAGAGCAAACCCAGTTTAAAAATGGGATGAAATTACTACATTTTCTACGTCAGGTTGAATTTCCTTGGATGTGAGTTAGTTAGCTGGTTACCAACCTGAGAATGTTTGGATGGGAGAGCCGGTTCATTAGCTGGACTTCTCTTAACATGTTCGCTCTGTTGCTGCTCAGCTTGTTCATCTTCAGAGCCATAACTTGGTCTGAAGCTCGATGACGTACCTGTAAAACATTCAATAGAAAATGTGTTTAATAAGGCAACCAAGCAATGCCTTCATCCTGATATCTGGGATATAATGTGACTTTGATTTTTAAAAAATGCTTTAAATTAATACATAATTTTCTATATTTTTCAGCTTTATGGATAAGGCCTTGACCCACTTGTAACAAAGCTCCTTTGTCATGATAGCATGTATTAAAAAACAAAAATCTGGCTTGAGCATCAAGAAAACACAGGAAGCAGGGGGGAAAAAAACAGCACAAAAAAAAGAGAAGTGAAATGAGGTCAGTCACTGCTGACCAGGCATGACAAAGTAGACCATCAATTCAGGGCTGCACAATCAATTTTGTATGATTGTACATTGGGATTTTAGTTTCCATCTTATTGTTCAATAGTTGTGGCATCACTGTGCATCCCTCCACAGTTGGCTGGAGCTTATCGCAGCATGCTTTGGTTAAAAGGCAAGCAAACACTGTGGAGAGGTCATGACAACTGTGAAGCCTTTCCTGCTGAAGCTCAAATAGTACATGTGTTACCATAATATACGAGAAGTGAAATAAAGTAACCTCGTTTCTCAAGTTTTACAAACTGCTAAAATCATATCACAGCCAGTTCTTTAAACAGAAGGTCTTAGGCTGGTGATGGGCTTCAAGATTAACTGGTGCAAAATTACAACACATGTGTCTTCATTTACATATTTTCTGACACAGGAGCAGTGCTTTGTATTCAGGAGTAAATTTAAAATTCTAATATCTCACTTTGAAGGTCACACACTGACATTTGCTTCTCAAACACACTTGCTGGTCATTCAGTGGGTCGAACTCCTTCTAAAAGAGCACTTAGCACATTTGATCTCTCTGCTCAAGCAAATACAAATGATTTTATTTATTTACAAAAACAAAAAAAGGTGACTATCAAAGCAGGAAGCCCTAGAGGGCATGTCTGTTCATCCCCCCTATCACTTTACAGTCTTTGAAATTGCAAAGTGACTTTAAATGTACACACCACAGCTTTTCAGAGATGCCACAGCACAGTACATTACAAGAATTTGACTTCTTCTGAATACACTCATGCACGCATGCAAATAGGAAATATCAATGTGCAAACCACAGAAGGCAGCACAGCGAATGACTGAGCTGCTGCACACACATCTACACTTGCTTACTCATTTCCTGACAGCAGAAACATATTTAGAACAGATTTTAGTCAAGTATTTTCAAAAGGTTAGATTCATGTCTCTGTATCTACGGCTGGACAGAGTTCAGCAGACAAGGAGGCAGCTTTAAGAAACCCTTCAAAAGTGTCACACAGGCACGAAAACTGACAGCTAAGCTCTCATTTATGCTCACGGCAAATTTGACACGTAAATCTTTGACCATTTTAAACCACACGGGACATGTGAAATCAGAGGTTTAAGAGGTGCTGCAAATGTGATGCACAGTTGTCGAAAACAAACGTGATCATACAATAAGACAGGACTACCTGTGTAACACTTCACACAAATGTTGGAACCTTTGTATAGACATTTCTTCAGTAATCAATTACCGCTAAACAATTAATCAAAGTATTTCTGAGATCACAATAAAGACTGGTGAAATATCAGAAGCTGCAATTTTTAGACAAAGGAAAAACTGTCAGAACACACCATTTAACCCTCTGAACTCCAACACCCACAGCCAGATTTGAAAGGCCTGTTATTATTAATATTAGCAAAATTACACAGTTTACAAGAAGCTGTGAGGTCAAAGTCGATGGATTTCAACTTTCTGATGGCACCAAATCTAAGCATAAAATTGTGGCATTTCATCAAAATGACTTTATTCTACATGGTTCATTTTAAAATTGTATTAGTTTTTTTTTTAATTAACCAGATTCTGTAAAAATAAATAATTTACTTGCACACATGACTGACTTAGCTCCAACAATCACCTCACAAAAGCTCAGTGGCTTTTCAGTTGAACTGCAGGCTGTGATGTGATGATTTATAGTATTATAACCGCATTATACTGCGCACACAATGAATTTTCTCCACTTTTAACTACAGTTGTGCTGTTTTTATAGAGCTGCAGGACTTCATATGCAGTGAAAACACAGTGAGTAAAAATGTGACAGGAGCAAAAAAATTGAAACTGGTTGTAGTTCAGAGTTAAGTGCCCCGCCATAAAAATGATATTCTCCAGACGCAAAGGAACATGCTCGTTTGACAGAGACCACAGCCAAAAATCCTCTTTTCAGTGAAAAAGAAATGCTAAAATCACCACTCATATTGAAGCTCATATCACAATATCTGCCAAAAATAACTGCAAAATTGTTTTTTGCATATCCATTCCAGTCAGAGGACAGTAAATGAGGCTAGACAAATACTGCTTCTATGGAAGTACAGTACCAAAGAGAACATTAGTCATATTCACTACAAAAAGGGACAGCTTTATGTCGTCTTCCAACAATGGCTCTTTTACTATCTTCCATGATCACAGTCACAATGACACAATGGAGAGGTAGTATCACTTACAGCAGGAAGGGGAATTGACAGCTGGTCAATATGGATTACATAGGCTGCTCCACCACTGAAAGTTAGTGAAATATGCTGATGGATAATATTGCTGCTATACTGCAGTTTGAGTATTCACGTCTGTGAAGCGCAAAATGATCAAAATTATGTATAGAATATCTCTAGTAGAAACACCATAAGGATCACGGACTTGGATTGAGATATTCAGAGATCTCTGTATCTACTTCTCTCTGTGTCGCACAGGCAGAAACAAAAATCTCTCTGTTCAAGTTCAAAGGAGGGGGTCTGGCTATAAGAGCCGACAGTCTCCACCGCAGGACAGCAGAAACAACAGATGGCCACTCCTCTGAAGGCCTCCTCCCCCACATCCATCTATCCTCCTCCGACCCCCCATTCCTCACTCTTCACATCCCCCCATCTGCATTTACTCCACGCTGTGGCCTCTAACAAACCGTCACCCCCAATCCCCCAATCCTAACCATCCCCTGCAGTCACAGTAGTATATTTTTCCCTTCATCCTCACCTTCCACCTTTTTTCTCTTACATGCTCAGTTTGAAAACATAAACTGCCTCCTCCAAACCCTCTCCCCCCTTTTTTTCCCCCCTCAGTCCAGCCTCTAATCAATCTCTAAATCATCCTCCACTGCAAACCTCCTCTTCATCTCCTCCGCAGGCTTCCTTTGTATTCAGTAAACACCTAAAACCTCCTCTCAACCCCCATTTTTCATCCCCTTCATTCATCTCCCCACCCCACTTCTACGCCATCAGAAGCTTTTGCCCCGTCTGTCCCTTCCTCCCTTTAGCCTCAACTTCTATTACCGTTAATTTCACCACCTTTTCATTCCCACCTCTGTCCATCACTCTCCTCCACTTGAAGCTTTTCAGCAGTACCCTGTCATTTCCTCCTCTTCATTTTTCTTCTCTCTCTACCTGCAGATTCTTCTACCAAAGGTGGGGAAAAAAACTGTGATGATGGGAATTTCCAATGACACTGAGTTGGCACCTACGTTAAATGACAGGGTAGTAGCATTTGAGAATTGAAGTTTACGACCTGTCTGATCCCAGTTTGGCTCGCAAGGGCTTTCCAGCTTTAGACTGAGAGGAAAAACAAAATATTTTGTTCTTAAATTACAATTAAGATTAAGAAAACTACTTATTTGAATCAATATACATTGAGAATTGGCTAATATATACATATCTTCAAGTCAGAATCACCTTTATTGGCCAAGTATGTGAACTCATTTGACTCTGGTGATTGTTAAAGTATTTACAAAATTAGGCACTTGTTCATTTAAACATGGGCAGCAGAAGGAACATGTTGAACATGTACAAATATAGATCTGTGTCAAAGAGCTTGTTTAAAGTCAAGTAGCGCTTTAGTGCAAAGATACAGTTTCTAACAATAAATACTGCGTTGTTGACACCTCGTCCACATAAGGTAGTTGGTTTTAACAGCTTTGTACTTATGTCCTAGGCAACTTACAGCAGTCATCATAACTTGGTGTTCAAAACAATAAAGGGTTTGCTTTATGATCAGCATAGTGTCCTACAGTTTGGTTTTCATATACATGATTTGCAACTCCTTCCCTCGTCTCGCACACCAACAAAATACTTAATTTCAAATGCATTTTAAACAGCATCATAGATGCAAAGTGACCAGTGTTTATCTCAAAGTGGCTATATTGGTTTCCCTCACTGATACATGATGCAAATGTCTTTCAAATCATTAACTGTCAGCTGCTGTTTATTTGTGCCACCGTACAGCTCACTTGCAGCGCTGCGTGTCATGAATAAGCTTCAACAATTGTACAGCCCACAGTGGCATATTTTGGACAGCTGGCATACCCAGAGCACAACGGGTTACAATAAACAAAGGACTTAATATCAGCTTAATATGGCTGCTGAAAAAAAGTCAATTAAAATATGCATTGATTTGTTCCAATGCAAAAAACTTCAGATCAGCGTGGGTCTGCATTAACCACATGCACATCACTCAAACACCAATTGCTGTCACACATCATTAACAGCATCATCAATCAGCTCACCTCCAACACACAATGGAAACCGAATGTCAAACCAGTTCACCAGTCCACTGGAGATCTCATGTTACACAGGTGTGCTGTACAGTAAATGGCATATCTTCTTCCACTAAGGCCACACTGAAATTCCACTATAGACAGAGTGACAAGACAAATAGGAACCCTTGCAAACTGTACTATAATCTATAAATTAAAAAAAATAATAATAATAACCTTCTAGGTCCTTATTTTACCTTATCAGACTGTTATTTATAATGTGTAACAGACCTCAACCTTTTCTGCATTAACTCACCACTCTTGTCTCATGTACGCAGTCGTAGGAAAACACTAAAGTATGTACAATCAAAATCTCTAAATAAATGGCATGTTATAGCACAGTTACACCAAACCAACTAATTGCTCAGCTGCTCTCCTCCATGAGTAGTCCTTTTGCACTGCAAATCTAAACCAAACAGAGCCATGCTGATATTTTTCACTTTCACTGTGATCTTGATAATACAATGAACAAAAAGAGATAGATACAATTACATTTTCTTTTACCAAATCCACACTAATGATGAAAAACATGCTTGTGTGGCTTCCATTCACACGTCTGGAGGGGAGGGGGCAAAGAAACAGGGTTAACCACCGCTCGTATCTAAGTGATGTCTTTGAAGTGATTGACCTAAAAACGTCCAGAAGGACTAGTTAGTGAAGATAGCGCACAATCACTCTGACCCACCATGCATATTAACTTGACAAGATCAAATCGAATGGAAAATTTCTTTGGGTTTAACAGTCTCATCCTTCATTAACACAGTTCACTCACGAGGACTACTGCACAACAAGTGTCCGTTTCTTTCTATGATATTCAAGCCTTTGTATTGAAGGCAGATAACAGGACTACTGTCACGTATCTGTGGGGGGGGGAAAAATCAATCCTGAAATCCTGATGTCAGTATCTTAGTGACTGTCTATTATAAAACACTCTTGATGGATGGATGGAATGAAGCATGAATAGAAAACGAGAAGATACCAGAACAAAACAAAGATCTAAAGGTGCAGCGGAAGGATGACAGAAGAGAGAACATAAAGAGGGAGGTAATATCTGATTTCCACCCACCTTGAAGACATCAGAGAAGAACCCAGAGCCAATCCACTCAGAGGTGAAGTCATCGAGGCGTGTTAGACAGGAGAAGGCACTGATGAGGGCTCGGTAGGATGACGGCCACACCCTGCCCACCTGGAGAAGACAGGAACAGACTGGTGAAAACTGGGCATCTTCATCTGATAGGCATGCTGTAGGATCACTGCCACAACTTACTTGTTAGGGCAGAAAAAAAGACACTGAGAGATGATGTTCCCTCCAGGTGGAACAAGGATTAGAGGGTGATATAAAGTAAATATAAAGGCTGTTTTGCACCAACATAAACAGATTTTCTTGGTCCTTGCAGAGTGAAAAAAACACCTGCTCAACAAGCAAATACATACCAAGGAGCAGTGTCACTGAAAATCTGCAGTGAGTGCCGTGATGAAAACTGCATATCTAAACCATGTCAATAAAAAACATTTATTCAACCATTACTGATTATTAGCCTTATTTATTTATGCAGTATTTTTAATGGAAAGACCACAGACATAAAAAGGGTGTGAAATAAAAGATTAAGAGACACTGATGACCTGGACCATAAGCCCATACTCATCTTAACCCTTTTTAAACTTAATGCCTAGACTGACCAAAACATAACCACTTTTACCTCAAGCCTAAACCAAACTTTCTGTATCTGCAGGTCAATCACTGTGTTTCTGATAACAACAGCCCAACACATCAAACTTTTCGCCTGAACCAGAAAAAAGTCAGCTGAGCTTTTGTTCATCAGTGAGAAACCTTGAGCAAGATTTTCTCTCCTGATTCTAAACAATAACTGGGATGGCTAACACTGAAAAATTAATCTATTTTAAATCAAAATCGCAAATCACACTCTGCAAATTAGGACGTACATTATGCATTATTTTGTAACTTGACTGCAAAATGTACATTACTGCACTTCTGCTATTTCTAAGCCAACAATGATCCACTTGTTTCAATGTCAAAAATTGTTTAAAGAAAGCTTTTATTACTATGTTTTCTTTTTGGACATTATTTATTTTTTATTATTAACACATTTATATATTTAACGTAACACAGTCATAACTTTTGCTGTATCTTCTATGCCATTTAAAAATGTAAATAAATTACCAATCAATCATCATCATTAATCATTACACAATCAATCATAAACTAAAACTTTAAAAAATACAATATTGCAAATCCCAATATGGTTTTACACATTTAAAAAAAATATATATATCAGTAATTATCAATACTTGGACTGCACAGGTACTCTGCATACTGTAACATGTGACAAATAAAAACCAGACTGACCTGTGAAGGCGGGCCCATCCCCATCTCACAGACCCCTACCCCTCCGACACCATCTCTGTCCTCATTGAGGCGTTCAGGTCGCATAGGAAACCCAGCGATGGAGTTGCGTTTATTCCGTTCCATGGTGACGTGAAAGATGGTGATACCAGTGAGGGTAATATGGGCCTTTTTCTGTAATGTACCCACATGACAAGAGGACTAGTTTGTTTTAATGGTGCCGATGGTTTCACGGCAGCACAGTGTTGACTCAGTTTGGGTCCTGGGATAAAATATGGTTTGCACATAGACTTCAGTCCCTGGTGACAAACCCTGGCTGGATCCAAGAGATTTTTAACTAATCCAGTTCTTCGTTGTGTGTAACTGGAGAGTCCACCAACATAACAAGGACTTCACATGTTTGACGAAGGTACGGTGATTCCTTGGAGACCTAGAGAAAGTAAAGAGAGAATTAATGAACAGTAGCAGTGGAGATTCTTTTACACACAGCTACACATAACAAGAAAAGAGACTATGCTTTTCTTTTTTGAAAAGTTAAGGTATTTAATAGCAGCTCTGGACCGGGTCTGGACTTGGATTGACAAGACAAGCCACTATTGCTCAACAGGCTCAAATGTAATGGCTGTAATAGGGGCCGATTGTCCAATTATGGGAGATTAGCCAAGGAATAGCTCAGGTCCTGGACCTTTCTGCCATCCAAAACAAAGTCAACAGGGTACAAAGGGGAACAGGAAGGAAAGCCTGTGGTTAAAGGTCTTTTTTTTAAGCTTGTAAACAATGTGGCTTTCATATCTTCTAAGAATACTTTTTTTGCCAAAGGGAGATTTCTTTGTTTGATAAGACATGTTGAACCTGGCTATAAATCCTTCTTCTAAATGCTCAGACTATATTGAAAACACATTCCACAAAATCTCCTGTCAATTTTGTTTCCCTTTGAAGACGTTTGTGAAATCCTTTGCATTACCTATAATTTAGACAATACCCCTTTAGGCCGAGTGTCTTATACATATTTGTTATCAATTGGATAATTAAGAAAGCAGCTTTTTCATAAGAATAGGTCTAACTGAGGATAGGTAACCTTTCACAGAGTAAAGCTCTTAAAACCCTCATGGCCAGCCGACCAGTGAAGACAACTGCATCAATAACTAATTTATTAACCATTTCTCAACTGAATTTCCAGATAATGTACTATATCACAGCATACACTGCTAAGGGAATTTTAGCTAGATTGCTCACTTCCACCCCATAACTTATTTTCCCTTTTCCTAACAGAGTAAATCAATGTGAAACCTCCTACTTGTAAACAGAAGATTCTACAAACACGGGAGCAGTGGTTGCCAGCAAAGGCACACTGACCAAACAAAGTGATTTACAGTCCTCCAATTTGGTTGCTTGGGGCAACCAGGAAACCATTACTCCTCATCCCTGACTGTGGGTGATTCTGTAATGTTCACCGTTTATTTCTGACCCTAAATAAGTTATATTCAATGCACTTCTTTTCATGATTTCCACATAAATCCAACATCAGCATTGCTCTGGGATCCAACACATAAAAAAAGTCTTGAAACATGATATCTTTAAGGTTCGGACTGTTGGAGGGATTTAACCTGACATCAGATGATGTCACCTTGGGCTTTAAGAAACTGTGACAGGCATTTTTCACTAATCTCTATTGTCATCCACTTGAGCTGTGTTAAAGAAGCTTACATAGAGCTGCACTAGTTTGGAAATTTTACTTCAGCTGCATTCTACCTGTGATAACATAACATAAACAAAGACTAACTATTCCTCTCTGACTGAGCTATTCCTTTAAGTACTTGTGACCTACACTGAGCTCATGCATATCAATGAAGAGGTCACAGAGTTCACACTCATCACTTTTAATACCACAAAGTATGTCATTTAGTACTCTGAGACCTCTGTCCCCACAAGCAGTGGTGATGGTTTGCAGTCATATTTCAAAGTTGTATTTTTAAAAAAATGCAGTATGTATAAACACAAGGAAGAATGTGAGTAATTCTGGTGAACATGCCACTGTAGAAAGAAAGCAAGAGTGGCAATGATTAAGACAGGTGCACATTGACAATGAATATACTAAAGAGATTTATGACCCAAAGCAAAAACCCAAAAGTCAAGCCTGGGCCAAGATAATATATCATAAGATCAGACCCTAAAAACAGCAATGACAATAGCCTCCTAGAGAGTTAGTGTAGGCCTAGTGGACAACTTCTGAGATCATTCTCTGTCCCAGGCACATCCTTAAAAGGATTTTTATACTCCTCTTTCCTTTTTTTCTCCAATGACACCTCATTTTCTGCCTTGTTGAAATGGTACGGCAGAAATTAAAGTGCCTGTGCCAAGAAAAATGCAGGCCACAAGTACCAGGCCTAAGCTTTCCTTTCTAATTTCAGAAGGGTTTCCGTCCAAGCACAAGAACAGGGACACAAGCTTCATGAGTAGACAAGAATAGGTCAGCAAGTAGAATATAAATTCACCCTTGGTTCAAAACAGCCAGCAGCAACGGAGAAGAACATCTGTATTCACACACCCTCATCAGTGGTCAAGGAAGCCCTCACTGGCAAAACAAAAACTTCCCATACTTACTAACACCTCAGCTTTTCAAATAATGCTAAACAATCCTATAATAGGGAGGGTGGTTCAAAACTAATCTTCTTTCAAGAGGATTTTTCCAGCAAAAGCAGGATAAAGACCACAAAAATTAATTTCCACACCTACATGTGATGTAAACATCAAACTCCAAAGCATAAAAGCATCGTCCCTGATATACAAACAACCTAATAATAGAGAAAACGACAATAGCTGCATGCTTTGCATACTATTAAAAAAATAAGATCAAACTCCACAGACTGGTAATTTTCTGCAACATGATAACCCTCTTTAACATTGGAAATGATAAAAAGAAAACAGGCAAGTCACCACTGTCCATTACTATATTTGTTTCCAAACTATACCCTGTTGCCGACACTTCCAAAGGACATGCATTTAAAACACCACACTAAAGGGACTATGCATGGAAAAGGGTGGATTTTTAAAAGGCGGCTTTCTTTTCTGGTCTGTAAAATGTGGCCTGTTGGTACTTCAAAACAGATGGGGCATCAGCAAAGCAGCCTCAGGCCAAATGTTTTAACAGTAGTTTGGGGGCCTGAGCACTACCCAGCTGTGTCCCAATGGATTACAGACTAATAGAAAATGGCAGCAATAAATCAAAACTTAAGTGATGTTATAATGATAGGCTGCAGCGAGGGTTAGAGTGTCTCTGAAGAGCTAGAGGTATTAAATGGGCGTGTGAGAATGTGTGTAAGAGGTTCATGTGGGCATATTCAGTAGAAATGCACCATGAATGAATACACCAGCCTACTCTCGTTATTTTTAAAACACATAGTAAAAGTTCATGAGTATCTTTAGTGATAACTTCAACACAACTAACAAAAAGTAAGACGTTTTCAGCATTTGATAGAGCTACAGTTCACAGCTCACTAAAAGAGCAATGCCAAGAATTTGTGCAAGGTCACATTTTACAAAAGTGAATAGCAACTTCTTATCTGACTACAATCTATTGTGTTCAACTGCCATGATATGTGAGCTAGCGCATACCTGTCATTCTTCAAGGGTTTAAAGTAATGAATTAGTCCATGGGGCAAGAAGCGTGGAGAGAGAGAGAAGAGAAAAAAAACTACAAATTACCTGGATGCCATAGAAAGCAAATGCTGCCAGAAGAGCCGTTTGATACAACAAGCTATATTAACTGGAGATGAAAGATCAACATGCCTCATTTGTTGAGAATGTGTTGTGGACGCCAGAGAGACAATGTAAACAAACCACAGGAGCAAAAGTCAGCATCAGCGTTTACACCCTGCCACAAGTTGAGCAGACTCACCTGTTATTATTTCATATAGATGGTTAGAAGTATAGTCCAAGCTGGGTCCCATGCCTTTACCGGGTGGCATTTATTTAAAAAAAAACAAAAAACTAAAAAAACCGACGGGCTAACACAGAAGTTAATAGCGCAGCTAGCTGACTGACTAGCGAACGGGCTAGTTTGTCAACAAAACTCGAGCTGAGCAAAGAGCTAACAGACATTAGCCGCTGAGCATGCAAACACACACACAAAACAACAAGTTCCTCGTTGCGACGGTTGAAAAGTCCAAATTCTCATAGGCTGAATTTTAAAAAGTGAATTCAAAGTCGGCTTCTGTCCTTCTGGTTTCCACAAAAGAGTGAAGTACGGTGTATTTTTTTTTGTACCGCCCGGGACAATATTTCAGACGGTTGTTGGTGTTTGACAGCTCCGTCGTCTCTTTGCTCTCATCTGAGTCCCACTGGCCCCGCCCCCTCTTGACTGACGGGCTTGTGAGCCAATGAGCATGCGCGGTAACTGTCCGAGCCAAATGGTTAAAAACTGCGAGAGAAAATTCATAAAAATGAAATACACCCCAAAAAATAACAACTAAAATTACACTGGAAGCAAAAAAATAAATACTTAATATAAAAATACAATGATGATTCACTCTGAATTCAAGTTAAAATAAAACAAGTTCACCAGTACAGATGAGCCAATTGCAAAATACACAACACTGGTGGTAAATTTGTGTTTAGATGTAAAAGTAATTCTGTGTTTGCATGGTATTTGTCACATGTAGTTTAAAAATACTTTTATACTTTCACGCTGCACAAGTACCCATATTCTTTTATCTAATCTTGAAGCCAAGCAAGATGTAACCTCAGACACCGCTGCTGTTGTTGGATCCGTATATTTTACTGATTGTGTCATACCAAAGCTCTTTAATGTGTAACAAACCGCAGAACTTGAAGACAAAAGCTTTTTAGAATTGCAAATTTGATCATTGTTTGCATATTAGTAGGGGCCCAGCAGTATGGACCAAATAAACCCTAGGAAGCCAAATTAGTAACTACTTTTTAATCTAAATGACAGTAAAAGACACAATCTGGGTGACAAATAACAATTATTTAAATTATATTTTTTTCTGTCCATGAGTTTGTTGAAAAATAGATCCATGTGTTTGGTCAAAACTGTCAGAAAATAGTGTACACATTTAAATTGGCTGTTTTTATTCGATCAACCATCCAAAATCCCAAAATATCACTTCAAGAGGCTAAAATGAGAGAATGATTAGTGGTTTTGCTTTAAATCTTATTATTCATTTTTTTCTGATGATTTCTATAATGATTAACTAATTTATTACTTCTTGTACAGCATTCATCATAGCCTTTCCAAGTAACTTTTTCAGCCTCACATCTTGAGGCAACTCTTTCTTCAAAGTATTCTATTTTTGCTAAGAACTGCAAACTACAACAACACTGCTTCTGTTAGATCCATCCCATTTTATTGTGTCATACCAAAGCTTTGTGATGTACAACAAACTAGAGAACTTGAAGGAAAACATAGGATTTTATTATCACCATTACTGACCTTTTATTTTCTTCTCAGCTGATTGCTTTAAGATATGTCCACTGGTTAAACGTACTGAAACATCAATGAATGGCTAAAATGCAGAGGTTTGGGGGGACACATGTCCAATAAATAAGTTATATACATGTGTAAGTACACAATGTTTGGCAGATTTGGGAAAACTAAACAAACTACCGCATCATAGATTAAATGGGTCTGATTTATTAAGATTTTTGGACAAGGGCAGCTGATGTGACCCCAGCTTTTATGCATTCTCGTGGAAATACAGCCTCATCTAGTGGGCAAACGTAGGCAGCACTGCTACACACATATCCTGCACAGGCAACAACAGCAGCTTATTACCACACACAGCTGCTCTTGGTTTCTTTCAACATGTGTCACACCTGTGTTTGCTTTAGGTGAAGTTTTGTGATAGCTTTGTTGGGAAAGGCAGGTGTGAAATAGTATTAATGCAGGGTCATAACCTTAACAGATTTCTCAGCCACTCCTTTTGCGTGTCCTGTTATCAGAGCAGCAAACAGGATCTGAGAGTTAGGACATCCTATGACAAATACTAACAGGACTGGGTGAGGTCAAGACAGTTTTCATACTATGAAGTTCAGTTTACACAACTAATTACAAACTAGATTTATCACCAAAGTATTTTTCATTGATAAATGCTCAAGGCAGTTGAGATTGAGAACATTCATTAGCCATATTCATTAGAATGTTAACGATTCAAAAGTTTTCAATGAAACTCTTTCTGTTGTGGCTTTGTTGACCTATTGATTTGGCAGAAAGAGGCTTTATATTTGAGAGTATTGCTTGTAGGACCCATTTTTTTAAAAAAAAACAAACAAAAAAAAAAAAGACAATTATGCTGTGGCTCCTGACCCTCAGTGGTCGCCAAAAGTTCCAGATTCACTGTGTATTCGTTGCTTTTTAGAAGAACAATGTTATTACAAATTAATTTTTATTATGGCTACTATTAATACTACAATATTAGGGCTTGACAAACCCACAGGGGCTAAATTATTGATTATTTTGTAATTTTAAAAAAGAGTAATGGACTAATGAGTAGTGCTGCAAATAACAATTATTTCAATTATCAGTTTATTTGTCCGTTTGTTTCTTGATATATAGTAGCATTGTTTGGTTATAGAAAAAAAATGCATATAATTAGCATTTATCATATGCATTTCCAAGTACTTCTGTGCTTTGAACTGCTTAAGTGTATAAACGAGTTCACACAATCACATCTTGAGGCAACTCTTCTTCTGCGAAGTAGTTTATTTTTGTGTTGTTAAATGTAACCTTAACAACACTGCTGCTGTTACATCCATACATTTTATTGTGTCATAACAAAGCTCTTTGATGTGCAACGAGCTAGAGACCTTGAAGGCACACATATATAGATTTTTATTCACCTGTTCTCTCAGCTGACCACTTTAGAATATAGCCACTCGTTAAAAGTACTGAGACTTTTATGAATGGCAGCTAGATATTGCCAGGGATGTAATGTGATTAATAGAATTCATTCATCTTGGCTTGAGAAACAAGTATTAAAACTGTTTTCTTAATTGTTTAAGCTTTGTATTAGACTACTACAACAGCCCTTTTTAACCTCTACACATGTTTTATAAAGAACTTCCGAAATCATTTAAATAACATCATCAACATAATTTTACTGCTGAAGCTGCTTTTAGTTTCGTTTAGTACAGAGTCAAACATTGCATGGTTCATCAACAATTTTGAAAACTAAGTAATTTATGTTTTAATTTAAAAAATGACTTTTTTTGTTCCCTTTTCAAATGTGAGCATTTTTCTGGATAAACAACAATGTCTGAAAATGTCTCCTTTAGCACTGTATATGTTAGTAAGTAGTAATTACTGTGTATTCTTAAAAAAAAAAGGGATAATACTGAACCACACTAGACATCAGCAGCCTGTCTAGTGTGTCTCATAATGGCATTGTGACATACATTTTGTGCGTCATACTGCTTTAGTGGAAAAATACACAAGTTTGGTCATGCACAAATTTCACCAGCGTTAACTGACAGTTTCAGTGACTCTCCTTTTATAAAGGAAATGATGCATTGAAGTTGTTCTTCAGTATTTCTTGAGTCACTCTTGCTTTATTACACCATAGAAACAGCTTAAACCTGTATGGGTCGGTAAAGTTGGTAACTTTCTAATCAAAAGAGCCATACTGAGCAATTATATTCTTCGGAGTTGACATAATGTAGTTCAACAACACATTTTGAAATTAACTATCATTACAATAATGAAAATATTTTGTGTTTCCATCCTCAGATGTGAGGTTCTGCTGCATTTTTCTGGATGAACAGGAGTTGAAAATATCTCCTACTCTCTGAGCATTGTGTATGTTTGTGATTAAGGATTCAACTGAATAAAAATACAAACACAGCATTGACATACTGTTTTCTGGCTTAGAGAAAAGGTTAAATTCTCAACCACTAAGTTAATGCACAGCCTGGATAGATGTAGTTCTAAAGGACAGTGATCAAACAGTGTGACCAGTACAAGATACTCCTTAGACCAGTTACTATAAAAGACCACCTTAAAATGCAGCTTTACTCAAATTACACAATGCCACAGATGACGAGAGAAAGACAATGACCAGTTGTTGGCCTGCCGGCTGCCAGCAGTGCCATAGCCAGACATTTGAACGTCCACAACTCCGACATTTGCCGCTTATGGAATCATTTCAGCAGTGGATGGACGTGTCTGATAATCTGATTGTGTCCCCCAAAATGTCCGACAACTTCACCACAACCATCAGGAAGATTGGGACATCATCTACAAGCAGCACTGACAACATCATTAACTCTGTTATTCACAGAGTGTGGCACTAGTCCAGTGTGGTGCTTACCTGGTTGTTTCATGATGTCCATTCTGTTGTAGAGATGTTGTGCGTTAGAACAACAAATGCTTATTCGATTTATTAAAAAGGATGGATAGAGTTTAATAAAATATTGCATGGGGCATATTTTTGTTCAGTAAACTCTGTGTACTTTGAATAATCTTGTCACTTTAATTCACTTAAATTTAAATTGTGTATTTTCTGTTTTACTGTAAACTTTATCTCTTGCATGCTTCCTGCCATCTCCCATTCCCACCCCCATCTCTGGTCTTGTTGTTTTTAGCTGTTTTAGTCAATCAGTTGTAATCATTATCGTTCTTGCTTCTTTGCTGCAAAGAAAATAAGAACAGATTCTGATTTGCTGAATGTTAACATAATAACATAAACAACACTCAGCCTAAAACCTGAATTTAACTGAAGAACAGATGTTAATAATGCAGTGTAGTAATAACAATGTTATAAAAGTGCAGTTAGTTTGCACTTACGTAAAAACTAAGTATCACACGGTGACCTTTGACTTTTGCAGTTGAGGGTTTTTGACCCCTCAGGAGCACCGTACCTCCTCCGTCACGTGACTGCCGCCGTTTCCTGTTACTATTGTATTACACTTCCATGTTTTTCACCTCAAACAGCGACGGTAATGTAAACCTCAAACGCCACATCGCCGCCCTTGTGTGACTTGTCCCCCGTGTGCAGAGTTCGTTAACCGTCGCTGCGGCCGGCAGAGGTGCTGATTCGGGGCAAACATGGCCAACTGTGTGGCTTTCCAGAGCAAGCTAACCTCCATCATGGAGATGCTAGCTAAAGCAGCCGTGGTGGAAATCAGCAAGCTGTGGGAGGACGGCTTCGCTCTGGTCCAGGTCGAGCTGCGCCGGAGAGAGGGCGAAATTGAAGCGCTGAACAGAAAGTTGAAGTTGATGGAAAACGAGCGGTTGACGGTCCGGACTCAGACTGCGAGTAAGTCCAGGAGAGAGCAGCCGAACAAGCTGCTGCCTCCAGCCGGTGAGGGTAAGAACAACCCTTAAGAAACACTACAAAAACAACTCAAGTTTACTTTAAAATGCATTGTTAACACTAACAAGTCTATTTAAAAATAGTCCATACTACACTGTACTGTACTATGCAATAATGTACTGTACTATACTACACTGAATTGTACGATGCTATAGTATACTACACTACACTGGACTATACTGTACTACACTGTACTATACTATACTATATTACACTGTACTAGACTATACTACGCTACACTATACTATGCTACACTGCACTGTACTGTACTACACTCTACTATACTATACTGAACTGTATGCTGCCTTAGCATACTGTACTACACTGAACTATACTGTGCTACATTGTACTGTTCTATACTATACCCAACTCAACTCAAACTTTATTTATAGAGCACATTTAAAGCAGCCGGGATTGACCCAAGTGCTGTACACATTAAAAGCAAAATCATCAATAAAATGCAGCATGCAGCATATACGTAACTATGCTATAACAGGCTATGCTATGTTATACTATATGACACTGTACTATACTGTGCTATGCTGTACTGTACTATACTGTACTGCAATACAATATACTATAATATGCTAGTCTATGTTATGCTATGCTATACAATACCATAGTATACTGTAGTGTACGATACTATACTATGCAATACTGTATTATACTATATTATGCTGTACTGGACTATGCTAGTATACTATACTACACTGTACTGTACGATGCTATATTGTACTGTCCTATACGATAGTATACTATACTATGTGATACTATATTATACTGCACTTTATTATTCTATGCTCTACTTTACCATACTTTACTATACTATACTGTACTCTACCATACTACATCATACTATACTATACTATGCTATGCTACGTGACACTATATTATACTGCACTTTATTATTCTATGCTATACTTTGCCATACTTTACTATATTATACTGTACTCTACCATACTACATGATACTATGCTATACTATACTATGTTATGCTGTACTTTACTAGACTACACAATGCTTTGTTATGCTATACGCTGCTACACTATACTATATTGTACTAAACTATACTATATTCTCTGATTCCTGTATGTATTTTCTTTTTTCTTTCCTCCTCTATATCAGTACACTGAATATCTTTGGGTTGTTGACAAAACATGAGATTTGAATACTTTATCTTGGGCTTGGGAGAAACACTGATTGCAGGTTTCTGGTGATTATATGTGTAGTCAAAAATACTAAAGGTGTTACCATCAGGAAGACCTGAATTGCTGATACAGTAGTCACATAGCAAAGATGTCTTTTCAGCAATGCATTTTCAATAGAACTTGTTTAAATTGTTTTAAATGAACCTGCTTTGTTCTTTCAGGGCCTACAGTGGATTCAGCTAACACCCTGTCTTCTGATCAGAGCATCAGAGAAAAGGCAGACACCTCAACAAACCACAGAACATCACCGCCAGCTCAAACAGACGGCAAACAGACTGAGCAGCTCAAGCCGGACCTCTGTGAAAGTGAGGACAGGGACGACGAAGACTTAATAGTCAAGCTGGAAGATGAGGATGACGTCCAGATTGTGGAGCAGATTGTGGACTCGGATCCCAGCGTTACAGACGGAGCGGGTCATCACGAGATGGATCTGAACCTCCAATCTGCCGAGGTTGTGGAGGAACAAGAGAACCAGCAGTGGTTGTCTGTTTCCGTGGGAGACAGCGACGCAACGGACGACTCGGACTGCTTTTTTGAACCAAAGCAGCTGTCACAAAATCTAGACTCAGAAATCTTGCTTATTCAAAACGCCTTGGACATTTTTGATAATTCAGCAGAGACAGCGTATTCTATGAGGGACAACGGGACAGTTCAGGGTGCTTCGAGTAAATCAAGGGCTCCTGTGACTTTTAGCCAATCTCAGCCAAGTCAACCTTTGGAAGCAATAAATCACTCAGAGGGAGGAATGTCCATTAGATTCCTTTCAGAAAAGCAACAACAGACTAAAAACATGTCCGCTTTCAACCCGGACAGCAGGTTCTTTCTTTTAAACGACCCAGAGTTGCACAAGACCATAGCCAGTCGCCGCATCAAGGAGAAGTGGTACATCTGCCCGTTCTGTGGGAAAAGCTTTGATCGTATCAGCCATCTGGAGATTCACCAGCGAATTCACACTGGAGAGAAACCGTACACATGCGATATATGTGGCAAGTGTTTTTCTCAGAGGAGTAACCTTCGCACTCATCAACGGACTCACAAAGAGGCTCTCACGCAAAATGCAGTTTAATTCAACAGAGTTTGAGGATTGAGCTATGAGTATCCCAGTGGAATTTTATGTCTAGATTAATTAATTAAATCCTTTTTGTATTTTGATATTACTGAAAATGTAGCCAACGGATTTTACTGTGCTTTCATTTTTTTTTAGATAAAGTATAACTTTGACATAGCTTGGATTGTAACAATTAGTACTTATGAACTGTTTGTTAATCGAGCCAGTTAAGAGATTTATTTAAAAACAAAAAATATTTAGGGACGTACAGCCCAAGTATTTTAATATTGATTTTGACAGGTTATACACAAGGACACATCTTGGTCTTCAGCATTTGGCTGATTGGATGTGAGTCAGTGGACCAGAAAGAGTTGAAGAGGAAACTCTATGCACAGTCACTGTAAACCATCTGATAGTTTTGTAGCAGTGCAATTTTCTCACTTTTTGTCCATTTTCAGATTAATGGTAAAAAATCGAGCAGGAATAGCAGCGCAAATAACTGAACTCCTTCACCGGATGGAAAGATATCGAGGAGAAACCATGAGAAATCTGACAAACTAGTTAACCGCAGTGTGTGAAGGATTAAAATAAGGATAAAACTAAACCCCAGTCGACTTTGGTAGTCATTACACTGTGCCTGGTCACTAGTGTTATCTGAAAATGTAGTGACCCTCCTTTTCCAAAGGAAATGATGCATCAGAGCTGTTGTTTTTTATTTCTGTTTTTTGTTTGTTTGTTTCTGGGTTTTTTTTATTAGTATTTCTCAAGTCAGCTGGCATCATCACATCAAGTTTATGGGTCAGTAAAACTAGGAATCGTACTAATTAGAAAAGATATAATGAACATTTACAACCTTCAGAAGCTTCAGTTTCTGCTTGACCATCTCTGCTTTTCCTAATATTTTTTTTAAATCATAAAATATTATGAAAATGTTTGTTAAATTTTAGCTTGATTTTTTATATACTTTTCAAGATCTGTTTTTAAATTTTTATTGATTTAAAAAAATAAAAATGTTGTCCTACTTTCAGCATGTTTTTTCACATTGAAATCTGAGGCTATGTTTGAACAAGAATATCTTTTAAAGATGTACGCCTGAAATTTGTGCTGTTATTTCTCATCATGTCATTGATTCAGAATCTACAACATTGGACAAGTAGATCGAACAATCATTGATTATGGGTGAGTTGAAATATAAACAAAAAACTGTCACAATAATACCAAACAAATCATAGAATACTTTTTAATACTAAATACTTGGGCATAAAAATGAAAAAAATAAATTTAAAAAATCATAACTTTCACAACTGATTGAGCAAGTATGACAAGTTGTACCACAAAAACAAAAATATTTGTAGATGGTCTCTAGTCCAAGTAGACCAGAGTTCTCTAGTTTCAAGACGGTTCTCCAAATATAACTAAGGAAATATTTAATATGAGTGACCTGTTACATATTTAATTCACTCACACATATTTTGGAAGACAAGCTTGAAGGTAAACTCTCGAGCAGTTCCTATAAATATACATGTGGTCACACTTTAAAAAAATAAAATATAAAAGTGGATTCTGAATCGATGACATGATGAAAAATAACAGTGAAAATTCTGGGCTTTTATCTTTAATAGTAAATGTTATTCACAGAGCTTCACGTTAAAATCTGCACCAAAAAAAAAGTGGGCTGACAGGCAATTTAGAAAAAAAATAAATAAATTGATATCCCCGGTCTCACCCCAGCCGGTCGAGGCAGACGGCCACCTTTCCCAAGCCTGCCTCTGTTTGTTTTCTTTGGTTCCTTCCCACCGTTGCCGACTGCTTGCTCAGAGGGAATCCAAAGGCAGCTTTAGATTGTTGGGTTCTCTGTTTACTATATTAAGCGCTGTGAGGTGACATATGTTGTGAACCGCGCTACATAAATAAAATTGAACTGAATTAAATGTCACTCCGAAATTTCAAAGACACCCTTTTAAACATCCGTAGTTTATGATAAAATAAAGTTTCAAGCAAATCAGAGATGGTCAAGCAAGCAGGAGGCAACTGATGATGTGATGTGAAATAACCCTGCAGGTTTTTAAAGGGACCACCAGGTGATAGCCGGGTTCAGTTTGTCCTTAGTGGAGCAGAAACATCTTAAAGGAAGAGATTGAGAATTTGGAAATTTGCTTTCTTGCAGAGTGAGATGAGGAGATTAGCATAAGGGCTAGAAACAGCTAGTCCGGCTCCTACAAGAGGTAAAAACAAAAAACTCCTACTGGCACCTCTACAGTGTACTCATTCACACTAAATATCCAGCTTGCTTACGGCATAGAAAAAAACAGGACGCAAAACCGACACGCTGGTTTTACAGGGTGTCGTGTTTGGCTGTGTCTTGGTCCCTGAAACTATAAAAGTGAGCATTTTCTTCAATCCGTATCCCAAGCTAACTGTCTTTTCTGTCTTCATATTTGTCCTTCAGATACGAGAATTCTCATCCAACTCTTGGCAAGAAAGCTAATAAGCCTATTTCCCAAAACTACTCCTTTAATACAAAAGTTATCTGAACTCATCACCCCACAGCGAAACCACAGTTTCAGTTATTTCCATCGTTACCAAGAACCTGAAAGTCAAAACAAGGGCAAACCGGAAAACGTCTAATACATCTGCTACATTACTGTGTGATTGCAGCAACATCATGAAGCCATTAATCCTCAATGATGAGGGGAAATGAGTTTAAATGTCCCCAGATTACAGGAAGAACAATTTGTTTGTTTTTAAAAAAATTGCATACGCTGTACTTTTATGAATAAACATTTTAACTTTTACATGTCACTTTTGCAGTTTCGTAGAAAAATGCAGACATTAAACAAAAAAACAATTTACAGTGTATTTGTTACCCGACATATACAGAAGGTATTTACAGTTCATGAAAAAAGTGAATATAGAAACTTTGCTGGTTTGCTGCATTTTATCCATGAGCTGGTTCAATAACCGTCCAGCTCCTCATGCAGAGGAGCTTTTCTTTCTTTTTCTTTTTTTTTTTGACCTTTTGATGGTTGCAGGTAGCTGTTAAAGACACAATAATAAACATACAGCAGTTCTATATTTCTATATATATTACATAGATACACAGATACACACTAACTTCTCATTCAGGGGTGCATCCGAGTGTGAACACCAAGCAGCTGAGTAGAGTTTACTCCGTCCTTGGTTGTGTGTTTTGTCCGTATCGTCCTCCCTGAATGTTTTTGCTGTAAACAAGGCACCACGAGTGAGAGGCAGGATTCATCGTTGTGAGTTTGTATGTTGATGTGAAACTGTGGAATGAACCGGAAGCCCTGTGTGCAAGTTTTTGCACCCTTTAAGGTAAACATTGTGTAACTGGAACCTTAATTCCGCGCGAGTTCGAGGACAGAAAGAGTTTTCATTTACGTGCTTTGTTGAAAGGGAAAAAAACTCTCAAGCCACTTCACTCCCCATTAGTGGATGTATAAAATATTAAAAATCAAAAACGTTCTAATTATGCAGTGGCTCTCAGTGTGAACCACAGCATCCCCGAGTCCTGTCAAGATGGAATCTTTCATTCCTCTTCTGTCTTTCCCCCTCGTTTCTTGTCATCTCTTGACTGTTGGCTAACTGATAAAGGCACCAGGCAATTTAAGGACAAAGGGTCAACATCTTGCATGTAAGATGATCTAGATGATCTGTGCTCTGGGGTGCAGCAGGATGGCGTTGGAATGCGGTCTGGGCCTGAGGACGCCGTCGCTGTAGTAAAAGTGAGCGTTTAGCGCCTCCGAGATCTGGTGGGAGCTGCTGCTGTCGTCGTCCTCCTCCTCCTGCCCCTCAGCCACAGTCTGCGGGGGAGTCCAGCCCTCGCCTCGCGGAGAGTCTCCCTCCCTGGCGTGGCCGAGGTCCGTCTCTCTGGGCCCGATGCCGTCGTCCTGCTGGGCCTTCAGGGGAACCAGAGATGAAGGGAGACCTGAGTCCTGGTAGGAACAGCATAAAAACAGAGTGCTGTTTCTCCTGATAGAAAAATGACCAATACTGAAAAAAAATCAACGAGGAACCAGGAAGTCCCTTGAGATTAAACTCTATCAAGAAGGCACAACGTTACATAGCTACAAAGATGATAAAAATCAACTGACATTGGATAAAACATTAGAACCACCGAGGGATTATGATGCACAAAACCCATTTCAGGAGTAGAAACTGCACTCTTCACTTACACATCTTTTGATCAGAGCTTTGAACACCCACAGTGAGACAAAATTATGAAGCTGTAGTGGTTTCTGAAGGTTTTTCTACGACCAGGGCACAAAATACGAGTAAAAGTTCAGCTCAAATCCTTGGTACCCTTTATAGCAGGTATTAAGATGAGCGTAAACAAGTCAAGTAAGGTGCATTCAAGCTGAAAATGTGCTGGTTGAACAATAGATTCCTTATCTTTGCACAACATTTTGCAGCTGCCTGTGCAATGCTGTAGTTTTATAGAAAATCTCAAAAACACAAGACACATCATGAAACATATGCTGTCTAATTTAAGGTAGGGAGAATTTGATCAGTAGTGTCAGGGACCACAGCTTTGGTCCTAAATACAACACCTGACAAGACAAAAAGATTTACAAGATTTTTTTTAGATTTTATCAAATAAAATTTGGAAAAACTCTTGAGAACTTCAACAGGTCCACACCAAACTGTAATGGATTGATTGGACTCAGTTTAAAGCCACAGCAAAGTATGAATTCGCTAAATTCTCAGTTATATTTACAGTCGTTCTACTGCAATTGATCCTATGTTTACGAAAATTAAAGAAAATCTGAGCATGAGCTCAGAACACAGCCACCCTGACAAATGATTAATGTAATTTCATTGTATGAAGGTGACTTCTGTTGCTATCATGTCTGTTCTATCCCAGAACAGTGTGCTCTCCTTTATTACCTCCACCAAGGAGGGTATGTTTTAGTCTG